CGTTATATTTTTCTAGCAGCTCTCTCTTTCCAGGCCTGGGAACAGTGGCGATATTCCTAGGAATGTTTTCAGGGACATACTCAGTCATATCGGCTTTCTCTAAAGTTCCGCTCAAAACGTTCTGTTCGATTTTGGCTAGGATTTCATGACGGTAAGAGTAGTCCTTTTTTTGGCTCTCCTTTCGCAGAATCCACTTGGCAGTTGCTTTTGAATATCGCACATACATCTTTGGCTCTTCAGCACTATCAGTTTTGCAAGAGACATTACGATTGGTTTCTATAATTGCTATCATTGATCGTATGACTGTTGTCTCCCTTGAAAAGGCTATTCTCTTCGGCAAGTATTTCAATCGCACATTATGATAATTCTCGAGTGACCCAGTGTGTAGAAAATCCGAACAGTGCATCATATCTTCAGAAAGTTGCTTGTTAGTGATTTTGTCAAAGAGGTCTCTGAAAGTGCTCGAAGTCTTATCTATCCAAGCTCCCCGTCTCAACTGTATCTTCTGAAGCTTACCGTGAGCACATTCGGTAACCTCGCTAAAATTAGGGAAAATTCCGTCGCCTCTCAGTTTAGAAAAAGTTCCGTGAGACCATTTATGAGAACTTGTAACGTGGAGCAAAAACGAGTGAAACGTCTGAATAAGTTTTTGAGGATTCCCAGCACTGTTTCGACAGCTAAACCAGAAATGGTTTATTATTGATTGCTTCCAAGGAATAAGACTTTCATTTCGTTTTAATTTAGTTAGTTCTTTGAGGATCTTCCCGATACTCTTGGCCAAGTGCCATATATCGAAGTAATGTGTGACAGAGCTGAAGGTTTCGTCATCCCTGATCATCGCTCTAATACCACTATGCCTGTCTGTTACCAACTTGAATTGTACTACACCTTTTCCAATGATCTTCTTTAAAAGTTCCCGGCATCCAGCTCGCTCCAATTCTTCAAAATTCAGTCCTTTTTGGGCGATAAAGAAATCCAGAATAAGACCAGATGCATGGTCCATTATCGTGTAGATGCAAAATTTTGCACAGTGCCCGGGTGAATCATATTGTCCATCGCCAGAAAGAATTTGCGTATCCATTGATTTTAACTGCAAAATGGCTGCATCTCTAATCGGTATGAAGACGTTGTATACAACTGGATTGAGCCAAAGCTTAGTTATCTCGATATAGCGAGATTTGTTCAAAAACGGCATTCTCATTGCAGACATGACTGCTTGAAAAACAGTAAAACCAATTCCACACATATTTAGAGCTGATGTCAGAAGAATATTAATGAGGTATCGTTTTTTACTAACAGGAGATGATGTCCACGTACCATTATGGGGGTTCCTTGGATTTGAGCAACTGTACTGAATTTCCACGCAAAGCCCTACAACACAGCTTCCAACAATCTTATTTTCGCTACCACATTCAGGACACCATTTGAACAACTGAAGCAAATGGTCCAACGAAACAATCGCCCAGACAAATTCAACCGGGCTCTTCCTGTTGTCTTTTTTCTGTTTGGGACCTTGCATTGGAGGATTTATTGTAGTAGTAGAGTAGTTCAGATCACCGTAGTCAGGATCGTCGTCTGAATCTTCAATAAAAGTCTCATCGTCAGAGTCATGGTCCGGAAACTCCGGATACCAATGATCAGATTCACTGGTAATCTCGACACCTTCTGCGACTGTTCCAACAACTGAAGCTGATTCGGGCAAATCAGACGGATTATCTGAAGAGCTGCAGGGAGGAGCAGTATAAGGAAAGGAATCTGTATCAATAGAAGAGCTGAACTCATCCATATCATTGAGTGCTCTCCTCGTTACTCTTGAACGGTCAGTGCTGGCAGGAGTTTTCCCCTCGTTCATTTGGACCTCCCCGTTAAGAAACAGCAAGAGTTCATCTTTTTCAGGGTGAGTGTTTGGTATGGCTTCAGGATTAAGTCGCAATTTCATCCTTTGTTTATAGCCCATTAACTTCATGACATTGAAATCGCTAGTTTTGTAATCCGAATCATTAAAGTGATCGGAACACACGTAATAAGCTTTCATCTTGCTCTCACAAACGTGGTTTGGTTGCCTGTTCACCCGTTTATCCCACTTCTGCCTCATCTTCCCGTTTTTTGGTACGGCATGTAGGATTAGAAATTCCCTCCTAGGTCTTTGTGAGGAGTCTCCCACCTTGTGACTACAACCTCCAACAACGCAGGATGATGGCATAATGTCAGAAAGGCACCATTATCGACAAAACTTTTAGCTATAAAAGAAGAGTGATCAACATAATTAATTAGCAACTGTTTTTAATTTAGAAAAATTGCAGGGCAAACCAAAAACGGGTCAAGAAACGTTAAAAATCAATTGTGTAGGAAGTAGGAACAACAAATTGTTGCAAGGATTACAGCCTGCTCTAATGCTGCCCCGCGGTATGGGACCTTGCGGTGACGTATCAGCTGAATGTTTGAGAGGGCGTAATTTGATTTCTGACGAGTTTCAAGTTTTAAAAGTGCCTGGATGTTGATTGGCATACTCTACTCCTTCATGTACGTGGTAAATTAAGCCATTTAGAGGAAGTGCATTTTTAAATCATAACCATCACTTTAAGATCTGGCACGGATACATGATCCTGGCACTTAATCTGTGATTTCTTCACTCAATCAATGGCACTTAATCAGTGATTTCGAATGATTTAGTTTCAAATTATTATTCAATTAAGTAACTTTTGGTGATCAATCCAGTGATCAAAACCAAATTGCCCAATCTTGCCTAAAAACGATGTTTAAATAATGCATTGAAAATATCCACTTGCTAAAGTCACAATGATAAGAATTGGCTGTAAATAAACTGGTAAGTAGATGAGCATAACAGTGGAGTTCCCACCTACGAGTGGTAAACTGAGAGGTGGCGCGCCTGAGAGGTGGCGCGGTGTATGCAGAGTATGATAATGTCAGCCTTGCGGCGCAGCTGACATTAGCTTTCATTACGTTTGAATTATCGCGTCCGCGGCAAGGCTGACATTATCATACTCTGCATACACCGCGCCACCTCTCAGGCGCGCCACCTCTCAGGCGCGCCACCTCTCAGCCACCACTCGTAGGTGGGAACTCCACTGTAATGAACTTAACAGGCATCAACCATCCTTAATGTTAACTATCAATAAACAAGTGTGTTTGTACAACGCAGTTTTAGGTATTTAATGGGTTTTCATCAGTAATAATTCTTGCTTGAAAATTACAGTCAGTTGGTGGTACTGTTAAATAGTTGTAAAATGGTAATGGTAAATAGGACTGTCATTTCTCTCCACAATCGCTTGGTAAGAGGTTATCTTTTATTATAAAGGCTGAGCTAAAGCAGTCATAAGTATACTAAGATAAAAAATGTCACATCAAGCTTGAACAAAGTACTTACATATTTCAGCCCATAGGATCGGTTGTTAATTATTATATCAGCATACAATAATGTTTGTCAGGAAAGCATCTTGTCCCAAAGGAAATTCTGGTTCAGCTAGAAATAATGATATTTGAAGTTCATATTTTAAATTCAAATATACTTTAATTAGAATAAACAATATACATCAAGTTAGGTCTGTTTCTACACCAGGAAAATAGATTAATTGAAAAAAATTGCTTCAAAACCTTCAAATACCTGCATTCCAAGAAACAATAACGAAACAGGTCTTCGAGTTCGATATTACAGCTTAACTAAGATAATCAAACTAAGTGGGACACACCAGCATTACAAAGCAGCTGTTTTTTGGCAAATGTGATTATAGGCCATTATTGAAGGCAGATATCTAGAGCTTGGAATGCGTTTCGGGCATCAAAGAATGTGCACCTGTGTACCAAGGCAATTGCACGATTTGATTGGAAGTACATATATTTTTTCTAACACAGAATACTGTCCGTTATTGTTTATACAAGGCTTGAATGGGTTAATTGTAATTTCGGTATGAAGCATGATTGAAATGATCTGATAAAAGTGTAAAACGTTCAAATCCTGTCCAGAACTAAACGAGTGTAACAAGGGATTTAATTTAGCAACATCCTGATCCACTAAGCTATTCTATACTAGAACAAGTTTCTAGTAGTCTCCAGCACATCGCAGCCAAAACGAAGTAATACTAACTCAGTTATATTAAATACCCTCTCAAGATCATTTAGTAACATCTGCATTATATTATTATTACAATGTGCAACAAAACAACTACTATCAAACTAAATATAAGGTGTGTGCATTGAGGCTCTATGCTAATTGCTATGAGCGGCAACAAAAAGAAATTCGACCGAAAAGTATCAGCGCATATTTGATATGAGAATAAAAATGGCGCAACAAAAAATTTGGTTAAATCTCCTTATTGCGATTTCTAACTGCGCGGCGTAGCGCGTACTTTGAAATCCAAATAAAAATTATTTTTGATTCAAATATCGGAAAATAAAATTACGGCATACAGCAAATCTTGTGTAAAAAAATGTGATTAACAATATTCTGTAAAAAAATTTCGTAAAAAAATTTAAGAACACGATGTCCCGCCCCATTTTCTAAATTGATCATTTTTGGGACTTTGACGGGTTATAACTTCCGCTAGGAGCAGCCATTTCCCCAAAACTTGGTACCATATGACTCTACTCAATGAGACCTTTCCAATGGTGTATAATATGTTGGGTTTTGAGACATAAAATCTCACCCACAAGTTGGCGCTCTTAGTACATACACTAATAATGGTACGTATTTCCTGCTGTGTGAGTGCAGGAACTGAAAATAACGTCATTAGTTTTAATTTTAGCAATGCTTTATAAATTAACATTGATGACTTTATAGTTTAATTTACGCACTAACTATGCCATGTACTATATATAGATTTAAATAATATGTTATATTAGTGCTTTTCAATACAAATAAAAACAAGGCCTTCATGTTATGGAGCCAGGGTTGGGACTAACTTTTTCCCGCTTAATTTAATTAATCTAAAACTTTATTCATTATTTCGTTTGTAATTTTCCATTAATTTGTTTATTGAAACTTACTTGCTAGGCCAGGCACCTGCAGTGTTACCGTCAAAAGCACGGTTTGCAACTCCCCCATGATTAGTACTATCTTGAACGGCAGAGACAAACTTCAACTGGGCAGGAGGACAGCCTTGTGTGTTACAATCTTGGCTTTCTGAATCATCTCCCTGGCATTCAGCTCCACCATTTTCAGGTGCAGGGTTAGTACAGGTCCTCTTCTTTTCCTGAGATCCTCCACCACATACAGCATCGCATTCAGACCAATCTCCAAAGTCACTCCACCCACCATCAATTGGACAGCCTTGTGTGTTACAATCTAGGTTTTCGGAATCATCTCCCTGGCATTCAGCTCCACCATTTTCAGGTGCAGGGTTAGTACAGGTCCTCTTCTTTTCCTGAGATCCTCCACCACATACAGCATCGCATTCAGACCAATCTCCAAAGTCACTCCACCCACCATCAATTGGACAGCCTTGTGTGTTACAATCTTGGTTTTCTGAATCATCTCCCTGGCATTCAGCTCCACCATTTTCAGGTGCAGGGTTAGTACAGGTCCTCTTCTTTTCCTGAGATCCTCCACCACATACAGCATCGCATTCAGACCAATCTCCAAAGTCACTCCACCCACCATCAACTGGACATCCTTGTGTGTTACAATCTTGGTTTTCTGAATCATCTCCCTGGCATTCAGATCCACTATTTTCAGGTGCAGGGTTAGTACAGGTCCTTTTCCTTTCCTGAGATCCTCCGCCACATACAGCATCGCATTCAGACCAATCTCCAAAGTCACTCCACCCACCATCAATTGCCGCCATTGCGCAACTCATGCCACAATCTTTAGCTGTCGTCTCTATCTTTTTACACTTTTTGTTTTTCTTGCCTTTCAACGTTTTCTTTGAGTTGTACTTGCATCCAAGATTTGACACGAATCCTTTCTTCAAGCATTTCCCGTACTTCTTTATCGAGCTTTTGCATCCATCTCTAACACGTGAGGCTTCCGCGGAGGAGAAGAGAGCCAGGGATAGAACCAGCAGCAAGAGCGTACACCTCATCTTTAATGTTGTACAATAGAGAGATCTTCTAGACTATGTCGAAAGAAATAATAGCGTTTATATTCTCACTGTCTATATTTATAGTAGAGGTTCTACTGCGGTAGTGCGGTGTCGAACCTCATCAAAATCTGTTTGCACTCTACACAAAAGGTTAATGGTGCAGTTTTATTATCTTCCTTTCAAAATGTTTGACTGATAAGGTGAGTACTTTGCAATGAAACAAGTTATAGTTTGATATGCGTTAACTAGTATCCGTAATTTCATTATTTGCAATTGGACAAGTAAACATGTTACTCTGTAACTCTTTTCAATGATATATTCCATGAGGGACAATAGTGGTGCAGTTTGGTGATTTTCCGTTCGAAACATATGATAATTGCTAAAAGTTGGACAATAGGGGACTGTTTTCATTTTACACCGTACAACCTCTTTGTTGTTAATATTTATTTATTAATACAGGGTGGACCAAAAGTCACTGGACATACGTTGGCCTTAATAGCTCATTCATTATTAAAACACCTATATTGTTTTCTCTGAACATGCTGAACGCCTAATTTTTTCAGAGACAGTAGACTATTTAATGTTGCATATGATCTAAAAACATGAGGCAAAACCGGTGACCGACAACTGGGAACCTCTCATTCCGGGCTCCCACAAGTATCACATCACATGGCCCAATCAGTGACGTATCATTTGTGATGTGATCCATATTATAACCATCCTAACAGCCGGACAACCAAGAACCTGTGTAGGGTTCACATGACAGTTTAGTAAGTAGCTGTGTATTATGAAGTATATTAAGAAGTCTCTGAGCTCTCGGCATGTGTTCACATAACGGACGTGAGGATCTCAACAGCTGGTGGACACGGACGGGTACAACTACATCTACTCCAGAAAGAAGCCTAAAGATACAGCCTTCTACTCTGCTTGGCGATGCCGGAAGCGTATCCCTCCTACCAAGTGTCCCTGTCATGCCTACCTCAACCTGTCAGATAACTTTTTATCCCTTGCAGCTCCAAACTCCACAACCACCCTGCTGACAACACTGCTCCACAGAAGCGTGAAGTCCTCTCCTCACTTAAGCGGAAAGCTGCTAGCAAGGGCTGTTAGCAAGGGCTGTTCAGCTGAACAGCCCTTGTCTGAATCACTATAAATGTAAAAATTTGTACTTAAGTCATTTTTAATACACCATAAACTGTTTGTGGAAGACACCCATCACCCAGGATGCAACGTCTAAGCTTTGGCATAAAGCCACAGTTTCTCCTGCAACTTGTGGAATTAACATCCGTTTTGGACGTTTGGAGGGAGTCAAATCACAATGCTGGCAAGCATTACCGTCGCCCTTATATTCACAATACTATTTACCCCCTATACTATTATATCCCCTTTATTGTTTTCCAGGCATTAAGACTTTTTCGAAAGTAATTCAGCAGGTACATTTAAGTTCAAAACATTCTGATTCAATGTTAAAGATGACAGGAATAAGAAATAGTTATATGGAGGTTTTTAAGAAATTTGCGCAAAATACGCGCCAGCATGTTATACGAAATTAGGTAAAAAACCCAAAATCGCCATATTCAGGTGCCTTAAAAACCATGTTAAAATTGAGTTAGAGATCTGAAACTTTGCAGGGCGTCTAGACCTTGTCCAAGTCGACAGTAAAAAAAATTTCATGTTTCAGGAGTATCGGGAAGTTGGTTTTCTGGAACCCCTGTTTTACAACAGATTGTCGTGAAGATATATATGATATATAGACGCTTTTTGCAGTCAATTGTAGCCTACATTTAAGTGTCCGTAGATTCAAAAGTATAAAAGATACAGTCATTTCGAACCACAGGTTTTAAAGATAATCGTTTATACTTTAGTTTACTTTATATTTAAAAATAATTTATCATCATCATCATCACTTGATGACGTCATCAATTTAAGTGTTTTTTAAACTTGATTTTTGACAAAACAACAACTTTTCAAATCGATTTTACACCATTAAAGAGTAATTTTATTCAAAATCTGAGGACATTTTCATCTTAGATAATTGTTCAAGCATTCTAAAAATCTACCGGAAAAGTTTCCTACCTTACTCCTTCATAAAGATATTTGCTATTGAAGTTAGTGCTTTTTTGAAGAATAATTTTATAAAAACACAAAAGTTGTGAATTAGTATTCTCTGGTGTTGGGCTATCCCTTGGGTTGTGGAGCTCAATTTTGCTTCTTAAAGGTGTAAATTGTGTTATAGGCTAGTTTTAAAGTTAAAAATCGAAAAGTTGCACACGTGGGGACACGCCCAAATTGATTTAAAATAGCTAAAATCACTAAAAATTTTGATTTTCACGATTTTTATCAACTTTGGAGTCCCGTTGTGATCCAAGTTCTTTTTGAAATCTTCTGAAACTTTGCATGCTTATCAAACTATATATTAAATACCACTACGCAAAAATTTACGGTGATTCAATATTGTATGCGCACGTTGCGTCCGCTCAAAGTTTGCACGTGCGAAAGGTGAGAATTTTGCTCATTCGTGATTTCGAATATATTCTGCTTTCCACGATATTTAAATGGCATTATATATGAATTTAATGCCAACTTGAATGAGTAAAAAGTGCCATATTCAGTCGGTTATCGACAGATATACCTTACTAAACACAAGGAAACGTTTTCAAAGGCAGAATTTCGAAATCGTCGAAATTACCTCCTTGTTAATGAAGTTTCGACTAGCTGTGTAAATTATCCTGACATTATAATCAAAAAGAGATGATATTTGACCAAAACCCATAATCATGGGTAGAGTGTACCGCTGCCAGTGTCTCTCTTTTCCAAACAAAAGGAAATGATATTAATTTGAGGAACAGTCCGCTAATGCAAATTGATACCGAGAATGAAATCGGTCGCTCGCTTTTTCCATTCGATCACGGCTCACGAATTGTAATAAAGCTTATTGATTTGAAAAAGCGAGCGACCGATTTCATTCTCGGTATCAATTTGCATTAGCGGACTGTTCCTCAAATTAATATCATTTCCTTTTGTTTGGAAAAGAGAGACACTGGCAGCGGTACACTCTACCCATGATTATGGGTTTTGGTCAAATTACATTATAAATAAATGTGCTAAATAAATATAAAAATGAAGTTCGGGCGAATACTGTATTACAGTCCGCTCTGAAGAATGCATATCCCCTGAAAAATCGCAAATTATTCTCGATAACTCACTTTCTGAGTTTGTGCTATATTAGTATATATATACTAGGGTAAAGATAGGTAACTTTTAATTCTTTGTAGCTTTGCGTCCATCGTTATTCATTATGATCGTACTATTTTTTATTGAATAAAGTTTACTTTTATTATAATTGGAGGAATTTCAATATATCGATTGGGCGCAACTGTCGTATCTGAGCAAGCAGTTTTTTAATTGGTTTTGACAGGGGTGTAGGAAGGGGGGAGGGGACAGGGGGCCATCGCCCGCCATAAAATCTGTGCAAGGGGCCAAAAAGGGCCAATATATTTTTTCGGTCCTCACCCACCCCTCGATACACAATTTTGGACTCGAGGCTTCCCCTGGTAACGCGATCTCGGAAGGCAGGCCTCCCCTTTGCAACACGAGATCGGAAACGGGAGCTTTCGATACGAGAGGTACGTATCGAGAATCACTTAGAAATATCCGGCAAAAATCCGGCAAAATTGTTGAAACCGGAGCCGGAACCGGATATTGAAGCCGGATATCCGGCCGGATCCGGATTCAGCCGGATACCGGTCAGTTCCTATTCCGTGCTATTCGGGAGCAGCAGGTAATCAATGATTACCATCGATCGACTGGGTGTTGGAAAAACTCCTTCTAAGAAAAGGATTAAAAGGAAAACTTCCAATGACCAGTTGTTCCATATCTGTTCCAAATACTCGGATTGCTCTAGCAAGGTTGACTATCTGTTTGAGATTGCCAAATACTTTGGCCATGAGATTGATATTGAGTAATGTATTCTATATGTAATTATTATGTTTGAACTATCATTATTATGTTTGAACTATCTTAATTAGTGCAGAAATATATACAGCACAGCTGTGAAATCAGTGGACACCTGAATGTTTAAAGTATCTCCAGAGGTTCCCAGTTGTCGGGGATATGTAATGATTGGTTCCCAGTTGTCGGAGCTGATTGGATTTCTCAAGCTTTCATGTTAATTAGTTAACTAGGTAAAATTGACATTTCCCAGTTGTCCGTCAGCCGGCAAAACGGATTAGAAATGACGAAGTTATCAAGCATTTTCTGTATCTCGTTAATAAAATTGAATGGGTGATTATGTGACGGGGTCACCTAATCACGTGATTAGGTAAACCAATCACCTGATTACACGTTATGCTTCATATATCGGTCATCTGAGAAGCTACAGTTCTAATTGTTTTAGGACAAACGTAATCCGAATGGCCAAACACGATTCAATAAAATTTGGCTCGATCCGACTATCCAAACTATCAAATAAATGCAAAAATGAACCTTCATTTGAAAAACACGAACTCGAATATTTTTCAATTTGACAAATTCCCCGAACCAGTGGTGGTAGTAAATCATACCAGAAAGAATTATTTCAATTGGGCACCCAGTGACTGAGCTATTAAGGCCAACGTATTTCCAGTGACTTTTGGCCCACCAGTGACTTATTGGCAGAATGATGAATACTACCAGATCCCGGTGGAACTAATTCCGATGACTACAAGTCCTGTCATCTCGTTCATTTGATCGTTCATATATGATGCTATCTCAGCTTCAAGAATCGATATATCTGATTCGTTAAATAATATAATATCATACCAAATAACCGGTCTGGTCTTTTTCGTTATTTAACCTTCCATCCGGTCTGATTAAATTTGGTAACATCCTTTGAAACATGCACATAATTCCAGCAAGTCCGTACATAATGAGACATATTTGTCATGTGATGTCCCACCAGTCCTCCTGGTGGGCTGACATTCGAATTAACACTGTCTATCATGTGACCAAAACAGTTTGTT